CAAGTGATAAACCGTCATATCCGGTTAGCGAAAGAAAATCACATTCACATTTGTCCTCTCATTCACCTCATCCACCTTCCATCAGGCACGCCAGTCGGTCGGTCAGTCGGTCACTCAAACGTGGCTTGTGACCAGGAGAGGCGACGTGACAGCACCTTCCTCCTCTGAGTTACACAGGCTGATTGCAAAGACGCACTCTGCTCCCACCTTTGTGTTTTTCTGCTTTACACACTCACGCAGTCGACATTACGACTTGTTACTAGCCTTTCCCCAGTACGTCATTCCTGTTTCGTCTAGTCCAGTTGCGACTGCCATTTAACGGCTCAAGGCAGACACTCAGGAGTTGCTGTGTGTGTGTGTGTGCAGGCTGATTTATGCAAACACTTGACGCAACTTCACATCACACCGACTGGTCACATTCTATGCCATGTCTAAAATGATGCCATCTCACCTTTTGGAGTCACCGTTTGCCCCACTTTGCTTCTCATTTACCATGTAGCTCAGGTGGATGCATGCGAAATGCACGGTGTGTTGACCACAGGGTGAAAGTGACCCGTTCATATTCCGTGCACTCGTTCCAGCTCCAATTGCACATCCTGTTGTGAAGATGCATCACTAGGTCACTTCACTGCCTGTCTGTCCACCTGCAGTCAAGCAAACCATCCCACACATTCACACATCGCCTCAACTGGGAGGCATAGGCGCCCCTCTCGTCGTTCCTCTGACAAGTAGCAGTGAAGTGAATGCGTCGAAGCCACGCCTTCGTCATGCTTTCCCTTTTTTTCCAAGACACCTCAGTATCTGCCGTGTGTCCAAGCGAAATGAGGAATTCCTGTTTCCACTTATTTCTGCCTTCCAACAGTGGGCAACGTGTATTTTCTCGAGGTTCTCATAAATATTTATGAGCCAGTCCCATTAACTGCTGTAGAACAATGGCGAACGGCGTGCACTTCTTGGGCCTTGCTTGGAGAACAAAGTGCGTAGGCTTATGGACGCCTGAGATGGCGTAACAAGGTGTAGGGAATGCGACTACTTTTGGTGCCGTTTAGCTGGTGTTAGATCCAGATTCCACCTGACGGTCAGACGTGTCGGGAAATTTCATATCTCACACCATTGGAATGTGGGATTGTTTTGCTCTACAGTCTTGAGGTGAGGCCTCTCCTCAAACTGCATCCCAATTTTCTTTTAATTGGTCAGTC